TATAAAAAAATAATTTTTGCCCAAAGTATTTGGGCAATTTCGGCTACTAATAGAAGCAGTTTTGACCAGAAACCTTAATTAACAGTTGATTTAACTTTGTTGTAAAAAACCAAATTTTTAGCTAGTTATCCAGATCTTCACACAGTCCTTGGCAAATTTTTAACACAATACTTGTTGGAAAAATGTCCTGTTGGTAAAGTGTCCTGTCTGTGAAGTGGGTGTCGGTAAAGTGTCCTGCCGGTAAAGTGGGTGTCAGTAAAGTGTCCAGGTCCGAAAATTTTCCCTGCCATAATTGTAAAGTTGTAATATTTGCATAAAAAATTATGTAATATTTACACTCAATGTAATAATTGCATAGTTTTTGTATGCTTATTTGCAAAATATTATGGGGCCCACTGTAAACTTATGTAAATAGTGTAATAATTACATAAATCCATGTCAGAAAAAATTTCTTGATGAAATGTTAATTATGCTGAATTGACATTTATTGTATCAACAGAAGCAGAAAAGGTGGCTCTATTTGCAAAAACATAACCATAAAAGTCTTTGAAGTTTTGATTATAAACAAGTGCACAATTTCTAGGAAATTCTCCAATTTAATTCACATTCAACAATATTAACAACAGTCAATCATTAACACAAAAATTTGACTCACTGCTTCATGAACCTTATCATATTCTTCCATTATCATGAGATAACTTGATAAGTATTTACATTGCTGTTAGCTCATTTCATTTGTAATGCCACAAGTGTCATCTTAGGTTCATTGTTATCCATATGATAAAATTTAATGAATGAAAATCCATCAAATGGTGCATTTAGAAAAAAAATATGACAATCATCCAGATTAACAGTATCATGTTTATTCTCTGACCAAAGGTATTAATTTATATTTTAGACATTGTCCAAATAATTTAGTTTAGACACCTATTTATAATGATGACATATGAAGCCTCCAAATCAAGTTTGTAAAATATACTGATGAATGTTTATCAATTATTAAGTTGCAAATTAATGTTTCATCAATTATTAAATAGCTTGTATCAAAGTAAATGTTAAAAGTCAAGATCTATGAAGTTGTTTGCAAAATATATTTAATGAGTGCTTTATCAATTATTCAAATAATTATATAGGCAGGCTTGGTCAAAGTAAGTGTTAAACTCAAGATCTATTTGTAAATCAAGTTTCCAAAATGGATGTTTATTATTATAGGCAAGTTTGATCAAAGTGTTAAAGTCAAGATCTATGAAGCTGTTTGTAAAATATATTTAACAAACATTTTATTATTATATAGGCAGGTTTGATCAAAGTAAAACCTATGAAGCTTGCAAATTGAATGTTTAACAATTATTCAATAATTATATAGGCAAATTTGATCAAAGTAAGTATTAAAGTAGTCGAGATCTATGAAGCTGTTTGTAAAATATATTTAACAAATGTTTTATTATTATCAATTATTCAAATAATTATATAGGCGGGTTTGATCGAAATAAGTGTTAATCAAGATCTATGAAATTTGCAAAATGAATGTTTATCAATTATTCAAATAATTATATAGGCGGGTTTGATCGAAGTAAGTGTTAATCAAGATCTATCAATTATTCAATAATTATATAGGTGGGTTTGATCGAAATGAGTGTTAAAGTCAATTTATACATTTTATTTATTATTTAACTTTAATCAATATAAAGTCAGAAGTATAAAACAATTACTAATAAAATACCTTTTAGTTTTTGCTGAATCCCATCATAAAATTCTTCAAGACTATTAAATTTGTATAAAATAGTTTTTCATAAACCTCTATAAAACTTATTAACCAATACCCCAATAAAGTAATGACCATATGAAAGTTTAAAGTATTTTACACCTTCTCATTTACTATCAAGTCTTTTAAAGTGATATTGAAAAATAATCTGAGCTTTGAAGTGAAAAGGTTTTAATGGAGTACTTTTTCACATAGAAAAAGATGACAAATATATCAATTCATTTTCAAACAGTCAATGAATCCATATTATATATCAATTGAGGAGTATATAAAGTTTTAAAAAAAATATATTTGAAAAAATTATTATAAAAAAAAAGTGCACAATATTTATTCCATTAATTTTTATTAAAAATGTATCCACTAGCAATAAAACAATTGATGGTTCCACTATTTGCAGTGACATTGAAAACAATAGTTATAACAAAATTTTATTTAAAGGTTACCTTGAAGGGTTGGAGCTTTTAATAATTGAATTTAATAAAAATTGTATTTTGCAAGTAATTGGACGAATAATAGTAGAAAATGAAACAGAATATGTATTTATATTTATATATCTATTATATAGTGTTGTAATTACCATAATAATAACAAAAATGTTAATTATAATTTTGTTATAAACGGCTGACTTTATACAAACAATTTTAGTTTAAGATGATTCGCATAAAACAGAACTACCAGAAGCTTCTCCGTTGATTATTGTGTCTGCCCTACATTGAAAATTCATATAAAAAAATTGAAGATATTGATTGATTATGAGTCATTATACCTTGCAAGGAATTTTTTTAATGACGTAATGTTACGACCCGGATTGTTAACGGATTAACGTTATGGACCCATTAAGAATATTTGAACCCGTTAAGAATCCGTTAGGGTTTTTTTTTCATCCGGGTTGGTAACGGGTTAATCCGTTAAAATAGCAAATATTATTGGATAATATTAATAATATGGTGTTAATAAAATAATAAATATTTATTTATTTAATTCGGAGATGAATTGTGATTTATTTCTTTTTAAGAAGTAGAACATAATTTTTTTAAAAAGTCAGGTCTCATCCGTGTTCTTTACATGTTTGCCTATACAGTCTAAGTTCTCTATACCAAATTCTTGTCCCTGTATGTAATTTTTCTGCTTTTGTTCGTTAGAGAGAGAAATTAATTAAAAAAATTGAATCGGGGACAAAAGTGATGTTCGTTACAGAAAGATTTTGCTTAGTGTTCTTTATATGTAGGTTCGGTACAGAGAGCTTAGACTGTATGTTTAAAAATTTTTTTTTCATTGAAAATAATTTAATGTTTTTTCTTAAAAGGATTGAAAGATTGTAATAGTAATAGGTAGAATTCATAATGTATTAATAAACATGGTCAAAAGTCCTCACTTCAGAATATAAAAAATCAATATTATTACTGTTGTTGTCAATATTAACGGATTAATGGATTGTTAATTGTAATATTAATATTATTATTATCGTTAACGAGTTAACGGGTTGACGGATTGTAACACCAAATCCTATAATAATAATAATAATAATAATAAGTTAACCGTAATCCGTTATCAACCCGTAAATTTTCTCAACGTTAGCCCGTTACAACCCGGTAATTTGTTAACTACCAGCTAAGGTCTTAACGGGCCGTGACACTATAATGGCGCCATGGAAAATAAAATAATTAACTCAAGTTAAATATTCAAAAGATGCTATAGAGGAATACAAAAGACTAAAAAAAAATAATAGTGAAGAGATTAAATAAATTAATTAGACTTAAAATTCTCTAAATACATGTTTCAAATTGTTAAATATAAAAATTTTTTTTATCTATCAATCTACAGCGCCCAGCTCATTTATCACTTGGTATTTTAAAACGTTCAGTAATTTTTTTTTTGTAAATTTGTATATATATAAATTTGTCGATCAAGTCGATCATTATCAGTTTCAACAACTGAAACATGAAACGAAGTTTGAATTATTGAATGTGCATAACGCAGAATTATCCGTAAAAAGATGCTTATTTTACTTGCTTCTACTATTTTTTTTTTTTTTTCATAAATAAAAATATTAATTGCTGGAAAATGCTCTTTAAATGTAGGACGGATTGATACAAAAGAATTTGAATCAGCATTTTGTCAAAAAGATCTAATGTTCATATAATTTATCTCAATCAATATTTTTTTGATTTAGATGATTTTTGCAAAATTTTTTGTTCATACTACCAGGAATGCCTGATGATTATGTACAAATGATGCAAAGGTGTTGTGATGTGGATCCAGCCAAGAGGCCAACTATTAGAGAGCTTTGGGTATTTTTTCATAATAAATTATAAAACAAAAATTTTTAATGAAACTAGCAGTGATGGTAGTGGTGGTGTGATAATAATAGTAGTAGTAGTAATTAAAATAATAGTAATTCACAAATCACATCCACTAGCACAAGTAGAATATTAAATTATGAATTTGCTAAATTGAATTTAAAAAGCAATGACAGTTTATTAAGTGACCTTGATGTTAATGAAATATTTTAATAAGGCAATTAAATATGATTATTTACAAAAGTTCGAAAATAACTTGATTAGTTCTCCTTAATTCAGAATCACACATTTTTATAATTGAATCATTAATATAATACATAATTTTCCTGATGTAAAAAGTAATTATGAAATTGGTATATAATATATATACAGTATGTATAGATAAAAATTATTTTATAAACATACCAATGCTGTATATGTTCTAGTAATTTTTTCAACTTTCATCATGAGAATAAAAGCTGATTTTACAAGAATCATGAGTATAACTCCAACTACGTAGCAAAACATTTCTATTGGTACCATAAATTAATCCTGCTCACCCTTTTGATCTAGTCTTCCGATTGCAATTATCAATGATATAAGAAATGGTAGGTACATAATGATAATATTGCCAGAAGAAAATTGATAATAATAATCATCAGGATTTGGTGCTAAGAGTATTTTAGAGGATGATACCATTCAGAAACATTATTTAGATGTAACTTTATCTCCTTTACAAGCATCTAATATCCTTTATGATTCAATTTTACAATTTCTCTTGTCTTTTGCTCTGTCTATTTCTTTGGTTTAAAATTGTATCATTTTTTTATTTTTTAATATACCTAATACAGTGCAGATTAATTGCTTATAGTAACAATTGGTCAACTTCAAAATACTAAAACAAAAAAAAATTATATCATTTTAAAAATTTTAATTGGTAAGTTTTATTGTTCATGACTCAAGCTTCAAAACTTATTGGCTGGTTTTTCTTAAACTGAAAATTGGCAGAGCTTTAGCATTTTGAAATTTCCGAATTTTGTTATACACTTAATGTTAAGAAATTGAGACTAAATAAATTTCGTGTAACAAGTTTTTATTTTTCTACATACATTTGATTTATTTGATTTATTTATTTCCTTTTTTTATTAGTACAGTCTACTCTCTCTATAACGACCCTCTCTATAACGATCACTAAGTAAAATTTCTCTATAACGAACTTCCCTTTTGTCCCCGTTTCAATTTTTTATAATTAATTTCTCTCTATATAACGACCATCTTAATAAACTCTCTCTATAACGACCAAAAGCAGAGAAATTACATATAGAGACAGAGGGTTCGTTATAGAGAGAGTGAGCTGTATACTAGAATAAATATAAACTTTTGGGATAAAAATTACTATGTTTTTATGTGTGTGTTGATAAGCGTTGTGGTTTTAATTATAGGGAGGCGTGAGATTTCATTTTGAGGGAAAATTTTATATATATAACTTATCTCTGCAGATCACTAATAGATTTCTACATATACACAGACAGACTCGATAAGTCAGCCCGCAGTAATCAATTGTTTAAAGTACTCAATAGTATAAATTATGCGGCTGACTTATCGAGTCTGTCTGTGTAATTGGCGAAACACGAATTAAATATATTGATATAACGGATTCTCTCTATAGCGGACATTTTTCCCAATACTAATACTGATACTAATAATACTAATACTAACACTAAGCCAAATGGTCCGTTATATATAGAGAGAGTCCTTATAATAAACCGTCCATATCGACTTACTTTAAATGGTAATGACCGTGTATTTTCTGGCCCTTCACTTATTCCGAGTTTTTGGTCAGAAAATTTTTTTCTATAATAATGGACACAAAAGATTCTTTTCAAGAAAAAAAGGTTTGCATTTCATTTACAGGTAATATATTCCTAATTTTATTATGATATTAAATAAATAATAAATATATATATAACGTATAAATATATATATAAAATAAAGGTGGTAAAGATAGTACTTTAACTCTACATTTATTATCATTACAACCAAACTATAACATAACATCACTGATCACCTTTGCACCATCTAAAACTAACTCTTCAACACCACGTTTTTTATCACATCCACAAGATTTGATTCAATTGCAATCTCAATGTTTATCTATTCCTCATAAATTTATTGAAATTTCTGCTCCATTTCTAGAATCATATCGTAAACAAATATCTTTATTAAATGTTGATTATTTGGCCACTGGTGATATTTTAGATGTGTGTGATGGATTCATGGAGAAAGCTGTTAAAGAAACTGGTGTGGAATTGTTAAGACCATTATGGTGCAAGGACAGAAAAGAAATTTTGGAAAAGATTTTTGAATTAAATTTTGAAATTTTGGTAACTTGCGTGAATTTAGAAAAATTACGAAAATCAATTGTCACTCTTAAAATTTCCAATAACAATAATAATATTGATGATGATGTAGAAAAAATTGGTGGGATGTTAGTAGGTAAAGTATTAAATAGAGATTTATATCAAACAGTTTTGAAAAAATTTAGTGATGAATATGGAATGGATGAATGTGGTGAATATGGGGACTTCCACACAATGACACTTGATGCCCCGTTATTTAAAAAACATATCATCATCAAAAATGCTCATAAGAAATTATCTGACTGTGGAAATTTTTTGTATTATTTGATTGAAGATTGTGAAATTGTTGATAAAATTTTTAAAGATAAAAAGATACTTTAATAAATTGAGAATAATTAAATTTTTTAATGTAATCCTGAACTACTGAATCAAATCAAATTTTCTTTTGGTTTTTATGTAAATTTTCAACCTGGAAGTCTAAACAGTGGCAAGGAAGCCACTACCCAATTCTGGTTTGTTTAAAACCGTGCTTTGCCTAGTGAATTGTAATGGTAACGATCTGAAATCGTGCTACAATAAAATTTTTTGATAAAAATGAATTTTTGTAGAGTTATTTTATCATCATCTAAACAAAATTCTATTAATTCATTTTGGTCAAAAAACTATATATTTTCAAGGTCAATTTCTTCCGAGAAATTACGAAAATCAACAAATCTAAATTTGGATGAATGGGAGGCAATAATTGGTCTGGAAATACATGCACAAATTAATTCGAAAACAAAACTTTTTTCCTGTATGTGTTTCCTGATAATTCACATCCTTTATTTATTTATTTTATTATCTATTTTCAATTTCTTAGTTTGATAATTTCATAGCATCTTCTACACTATTCAATGAACCTGTTAACACCAATATTTCATTGATCGATGCTGCATTTCCAGGAACAATCCCGGTAATTCAGTCTAATACATGAATTAGAAAAAATCATGTAATAATAATGATAATGTTGGTGATAATGATAATAATAATAATAACAACAACAGTAATAATAAATACCAAAAATTTTGTTACCTAGAGATTGAATTCCAAGTGTGTTGATCATGCAATAGCTACATCTTTATCATTATCAGGAAATGTTCAATTGGTTTCTTTTTTTGATAGAAAACATTATTTTTATCCTGATTTGCCTGCTGGTTATCAAATCACTCAGCATTATGGTAAATAGAAATGTGTGTGCATTGTTTTTTTTCATAATTTTTTGTTAATTAACATAATTATAGCACCTATCTCTATTGGTGGAAAAATTTGTTTGTCAAAATTGGATGGTCTTGAGTATGATGCTCAAATAAGAATCAAACAAATACAATTAGAACAGGTAGAAATTATATATAGCTTATTTCTAATTTAACATGGATATTATTAATGTATGGATCATAAATATTATCAAGGATACTGGAAAAAGTACCCATGATGTTATGCCAAATATGACATTGGTTGATTTAAATAGAGCTGGAGTAGGACTAATGGAAATAGTAACAGAACCAGATATAAGGTAAATTTTGAAAAAAAAATATTTCAATTATTAGAATAGTAAGATAATCATTCCATACACTTTCTAGAACATCAAAAGAAGCAGGATTGGCATTAAGAAAATTACAACTGTTGCTTAGAACAATTGGATCTTCTGATGGGAATATGGAAGAGGTTTTTAATTTTTATTAAAATTTTACAATTATGCAAATTTTAAGTTAATAATATTTTTTCTACATAATGTTAGGGATCCTTAAGATGTGATGTTAATGTTTCTGTTCATAAACATGGAACACCATTTGGCACAAGGTGTGAAATTAAAAATTTGAACAGTGTAAAGTTTTTAATGTTAGCAATAGGTAATATATATAATTTTAATATAAACAAATTGTAGTTTTTTTGTAAAATTATTATTATTAATGGCTTGTCCATTAGATGCAGAAATATATAGACAAATCCAAGAATTAATCAAAGGAAATTCAATTATTCAGGAAACAAGAGGCTATGATGTTCCAGCTAATAAAACTTTTAAATTAAGAACCAAAGAAACTTTAACTGACTATAGGTAAATTAAGCTGAAATTAGTAATAATAATAATAATTAATTAATTAAGCTTATTTCATAAATCAAAATATTAGATACATGCCAGAGTCTGATTTACCACCATTACTATTAACAAAAGTAATCTTAAGATAATTTATATTACTTGTTATTAATTTTAAATATTACAAATGTATGTTTATCTTTTTAATGGATTTATTTATTTATTTAGAAACATATTACCAAAATATTTGATTCTTTACCAGAATTACCAGACAATAAGAAGAAAAGATTGTTGGAGCAATATAATTTATCAATACATGAAGTTAATGTTTTAACTAATGAAATTGGATCATCAGAATATTTTGAAGAGGCAATTAAATTTGAATCTATTCTTTATTAAAAAAACTTTTGATAAATTTACAGAAATTATTTGCTATTACCATTCTATATTTAGGTATCAAAGAATCGTAATTCACAGCATGTCATAAATTTTATTATACATGAATTGTTTGGAGTTTTAAACCTTAAAGGATTAAAGTTTTATCAGAATCCTGTTTTAATTGAGCAACTTGGCTCTTTAATTGATTGTGTTAACAATAACGAAATATCCGGTAAATAAATTTTCTAAAAACCCTGTAATAATGTTATTATTATTATGGACTCTAAAACAATATTATTATTTTATTATTATTATTCTTGGATAAATTCAGGTAAGATTGCTAGAAAAGTTTTAATGATGATGGTTGATGGTGATACACGTCTACCAAAAGATATCATCATTGAAAAAAATTGGCAACAATTAAGTGATATTGATGAACTAGAGAAATTATGTAAATCAGTTTTAAAGGAAAATCCAAATTTGGTATATTTTTTTTACTTTTGTAAAAATTAAAAAACATAATAATTTGTTAATTTAATTATATTCTATTTAGGTGATGGAAATAAAAGTAAAAGAAAAAGAAAATCTAATCCAATATTTTATTGGTCAAGCAATGAAACAATCAAGGGGAAAAGCAAATCCCAAAATATTAAATGATTTATTTAAAAAATTAATTTATAAATAAATAATTGTGGGTATAAAATTATTTTACCAAAGAAATAAAATTTATACAATGGAAAAAAAATCATAATATATGACCCTTAAATAATTTAAATGATTAAAATTTTTAAAAATTTGGTCAATTACATTTTTAATATGCATAACTTGAAAGCCTGAAGCTATATTATAGCCTTAGAATCTTTTTAATGCTTGTATATTCTTTTTATCCATTTTATCTGAGGTTCTTGAGATAGAGATATATAGCATTCCACTATCTACTCTAGATATTAAATGTGGTAAAGCAAAAATTGAAAAAAATTTCTAATGAAGATTAACAACATTATTTTACGATCCATCCATTACATCCAGGGTTCCTTCAGCTATTTGTTATACAATTATGTGACAAAATGGATTTTTGATAATGTATACAGAGATTGATTTTTTCATGGTTAAAAGATGTTGTGAGATAGTAAAATGTGGACTGGAGTGGAACCAACTCACTGTGTTAAGCCACATGGTGGCCATCAAAATATTTCTATGGTTGGCTTGGTCTAAAGACTCCCATTGCTGCGCCATGCGCTCAAATTTCAAAATTTGAGATTTCGTGATCTGTTCAAAAATGCAATAAGGGCTTCACGTGATTTTGGTCAAAAATTACTTTTCTTGCTGCCAAATTTAGATATGATGTTCGAGTATTAGTCTAAATTTAGTAATGAGTATCAAAAACTAGTCTAAATTTAGCAACGACTAGAGCTTAAATTCCTCATGAAGCATAGTAAAGTACATGTTTTAAAAAAGAAAATGTTGTGAAGCTTTGTAATACAATGCTGGACTATTTTGAAACAGAAGCTCAGCATTTAGATGAATTTAATTTATATCTTTCATGAATAATTGGTTGGTTGATACAGCCAGCAACTTAAAAAAAAAGAATCATCTGCAGTAACAAAGGGTGTTTTCCCAACTGCTGATGGAGTTGTATCATTTGTATTACACATCAGTAATGTGAAGCTTGCTTGGCTGATGAATATTGAAGCTAAGTATGAACTTGTATCTACAAATGATACTCATTTCCAAGCTTACATTTATATAATTAGACATTCTCTAGAATTAATTGATGAGGCAAAGGAGTTGGAAAGCTGTAATTTGCTCACTTTATTAATTCCTTAGCATTCATGAGACTAAACAGTGAAAACGTTTTCCAACTACTCAATTAAAAAGCATATATTTTGAAGAAATTAAAGTCTTATCTATTTTAGTCTTAACACCACCTCTTTTGGATTACAAAAGGCAAGAATATCTTTATCATAATATTTGCCCATTTGTGAAAGATGAATATAAAGATATTACTTGCCCAAGACCAATCTATACTGGAAATGAATAAATATTTAGAATAAAATCACCTCTGTGACTATACATGCAGCCCAAATTGGTTTGGTGATTTTGATGGTAGAAAGTAGAAATTAATTACAGCAATCACTATTAAAAACATAAGTGTAACCCCCTTTATGACAGTGTCAAAATACTTTGGGCTGTATGTATATCTATGACTTCATCACTTGTTGATTTGTCCCTTACTGTCATTATGTTTAATAAGTTTAACCTTTTGTTAAATATTGTTAACTTTTTCCACATTTAAAGTAAAAAAGTACTAAAATAATTATATGGGGGATTTCTAGAAAAAACCGGTTATAAGTCTTTTTTACCAAAATTGACTTATTTACATAACATCAATCTGTAACATTGTAACTATAACTGGAAAAATTTTCACTTAATAAAAAAATGAGTAATTGGGTAACAAAGAGTTTTTTAAATTAATTTGCATAAAGTTTAAAATTGATCTACAACCCCAATATTTTATTAGTTACACCAAGTTCAAATAATATTAATTGCCGATCTGCGAATGAATGAGAATTTATTGGGCAAAAATGGTACTTTTGTATATGTTGAACAAAAAAATTTTTTTAATAAAATTCATATATAAAAGTCGAAACAGATTCTTCTGAATATATAACCCGAGGATCCCTGAGGATCCCTGCAAAATTTACAAGATATAAAAAGCTATTAGTTGAAGAAAATTTCATTTTTTTTCATTATTTAAGTTCACAT